GCGGCACTGTGGTCAGAGGAGCCGTCTTCCAGTCCCCAGGCTGCTTCTCGGAGTCGGAAGTTGTGCCATCGGCCTCTGCCTAGGACGGGACCTCTGCACCTCCAGGGTGCATAAACACACAGGGCTTCCATCAGGCTTCACTGCTCCGCAAGCTCCGCCGCTTGGAGCTTCTGTATGCAAATTAACCGCCATCTTTGTTGGGTTAATTTGCATACTACCCTGATTGGCTGGTTAGCAGAGCAAAGGTTCGGTCAATTTACATGTTTGTCTATTATTAGGTAAGACTAGAGGCGCAGTGCACAAAAATTTGTGCACTTGGGAGGGTCCCTCAGCCCGGCCTGTGCCCTCTCGCAGTCTGGGACCCCTTGGGGAATGACCACCTGCTGGCTTAGGCCCGCTCCCCAGGGGATTAGGCCTAAGCTGGCAGTCAGACATCCCTCTAGCAGCCCGGGAGCCCTCAGGGGATGTCCACTTACCAGCAGGGAGCAGGCCTGGCTGCAGTTGGACATCCTTAGCGCTGCTGAGGAGGCGGGAAAGGCTCCCACCACCACCGCTGTACTGGCAGCCATCAGCCTGGCTTGTGGCTGAGGGGAGCACACTGACGACCAGAGGGCAGCTCCTGCATTGAGCGTCTGCCCCCTGGTGGTCAGTGTGTGACATAGTGACCAGTTATTCCCAGTCGCTCTACTGTTAGGGTCAATTTACATATTACCCTTTCATTATATAGGATAGAGGCCTGGTGCATGGGTGGGGGCCGGCTGGTTTGTCCTGAAGGGTGTCCTGGATCAGGGTGGGGATCCCGCTGAGGTGCCTGGCCAGCTTGGGTGAGTGGCTGATGGCCGTTTGCAGGCTGGTCACAGCCCCTTCAGGGTGGGGGTCCCGCTGAGGTGCCTGGCCAGCCTGGGTGAGTGGCTCTTGGCCGTTTGCAGGCTGGCCACAGCCCCTTCAGGGTGGGGGGGTCCCCGTTGGGGTGCCTGGCCAGCCTGGGTGAGGGGCTGATTGCTGTTTGTAGGCTGGCCAAGCCCCCTAATAGGGACCCTCACCCCATGAGGGTGTGGCTATCCTGGGTGAGGGGCTGATGGCTGTTTGCAGGCTGGCCACAGCCCCCAGCCACCTAAGCTCCCAGTGTGGCTGGCTGGAAGCAGGTATCTGGGATTTATTTAGCTTCTATAATTGAAACTTTGTTGCCTTTTGCGGAGGCCACAGCCGGTGGGAAGCTTGGCTTCCTCCATCGCCGGGGTAACCAAGCCTCCTGCTTGCTCCAGCTCTGTGGCTGCCGCCGCCATCTTGGTTGGGTTAATTTGCATATAGTCACTCTGATTGGTGGGTGTGGCAAAGGTATGGTCAATTAGCATCTTTGTCTTAATGTAGATAATGCCCAAGGCATAAATTGCTCACCAATAAATCCATGAAATTCAGACTCCTTTTAAGGGATAGTTCTGAAAATCAGTTGAGATTTGTTCTGGCCCCAGACAGTTTCCTCCCAGCTATGTCCTTCTCAGGTTCTCTCATGAAAATGAGCCAGCCTACAATTTAGTTATTATGTCCAATGATTCTACCAATATTGTACTCAATTGCCCCTCCCTACAACTTCCACTCTTTTTGAGCGCATCCTTAGTGTTTCAAATGAAACCAGTTCCTTTAGGAAAAGGAGCTCCCTGGTGTATGGCCTGCTCTCTCTCCAGGCAACACCTCTGGTTATGCCTATGGAGCTGGAGGTGGGGACAATGGCAAGCTTCTCCAGTTTAGTGGCTGAGTGCTCAGGGGTGATGGTGGGGGGCAGCACCTTTAGCTCTGATTTGCTTGACTCTCCCAGGATGGAGTCACTGTCTAACCAGCCAGCAAAGATGTCTGGGGCCCCCATATTGCTAGCAGTACCACTCAGTGCTAGCAGCACCGCTCAGTGTAGAACCTCCTTGGTGGCTAGGCAGAAGAGAAACTCCACCTCTCACCTACACTTGACCATAACTTAGCTTCAGGAACAGGTGGCAGCAGGTTGAGAAACACTGACATCCTGGGAGCTGAAGGAGGTGGGGCCCTGTGTCCTTGGCTGCACCAGTCTGGTTCCCATCTTGTTGAGTTGGGAGAAGTGATTTCAGTTCAAATTCCAGACTCTCAATGTTCTTATAAAATGTTAATACATTTTCTTGAATATGTTTCTAATTGCCATATATTCTTCAACCATATTGAGATTTTACCTGATTGTTTTAAAATAATTTTCAGGAGTTTTGCTGGTGAGTCGAGTTCCTCATGCTGAAGTCAGTCACATCCCTCATTTTCTTTATTTCCTCTTTCTGGAACATGTATTCCCTTTAATAAGATTTGTTAGAACTTGTGCTATATTTTACATTTCCAGCTATCATATTTTCATCTCTATACATCTTGGTTTTTTTCTTGAGTTCCTAATCCACCTCATCAATTTTCCTCTCCAACTGTAATGTTCTGAATAATTCTAGATTTCTAGTTTTATTGATTATATTTTAAATTCAAATTTTCATCAGTAGTATTTATTTTTTCAATTTAACATTAAAAAATTCTGTATTGACTTTTTTTTTTGGGGGGGGGGGGGAAACATCAATGTGAGAATGGCTGCACCCTGCACACCCCCCCCCACCAGGAATCAAGTTGGCAACCTTTTCAACTGGCAACCTTGCAGTGCTCAGGATGACACCCACCCAGCTGAGCCACAGTGGCTAGGGCCCATTTAGTTGTTTCAAAAATCCACCTAGTCCTGGCCAGTATCTCAGTGGTTAGAGCATCAGCCCAAGCACCTAAGGGTTGCAGGTTCAATTACTGGTCAAGGGCATGTGGGTTTTAGGTTTAATTCTGGGCCCTCGTCAGGGTGCATTCAGGAGGCAACCAATCAATGTGTCTCTCACATTTATGTTTCTTTCTCTCTGCCCCTTCTCTAATAATCAATGGAAAAAATAGCCTCACGTGAGGATTAACAACAAAAAATATGCCTAGTATTTTAAGGTAGTCTCATTGTTTATTTTTTCTTCATGTGGCTTTGTTCCTAATCATTTATCAAATATGTTTCACAGTACACTAGTATATCTGATCCATTTTTAAATTCTGCAGGATTTTGATTACTTGCTATTAATGACTTCAATTGTATGAAATGCTCTTTCTGTGTATATTGTTTTTAATCTTAATTCAAACAGGGAGGCTGTCACCTTACTTTTCAGGGGTTACATGAAGGTAACTTTGAACTGGAATAATTTTTTGCAACTCACTTAATTAATGATAAAGGCATCCAAAGCTGATGGCTGCTAATATCCAAGAGATGAGACATTATGTCCCTCCTATGGAAGAACATACCACCTCCTCTAAAGTAGTCTTGAAAAAAAAGTCTAGATTCAATTTACCAAGTTAGAGAAAATACAGAGGACAGAGGATTATGTTACACTATGGGGATGCAGTTACAAGAATCTGGATTATATTTAACTCTCAAGGACAAACTGGATTTCTTTCACCAAATAAACTGTAAGAAGAGGAGAGAGAATGTGAAAAATAAAAGGTAAGGAGGGGGAGGAGAAAGGGAAAGTCAGTAAGAGGGTGAGGGAACAGAGATGAAAACAAAATGCATGTCAACCACTTGCAATGTATGACCTGTAACTGAATCCTGTTTCAAATAAACGATGTGTAAAAAATGGCATTTATGAAACATCTGAACTGTTGCATATTCACTACATATTTGATGACATTAAGGAATTTTTATTCATTTTTTCGTCTTAATCGTTTTGTGATTATCTTAAAAATATTGTTTAGAAGTAACATTGAAATATTCATGGATTAAATTATGTGATATGAGAAATGCTTCAAAATAACATGGGAGGAGGCTAGAAGGTGGGAGTTTAGAAGACAATGGCTGAGATAATTCTCGAAGCTGGGTGATTTGTATATATTTGGAAATGGCTTTCTTATTACTGCTTTAGCCTTGTAATCTTGGTTCTTATTGGGGGGAGGGGGCATTTGTAAACTAAAGTGAGGTCAAAAGGGGCAGTTTATGAATGTGTCATCACATTCCAATGTGTGGACTTTTTAAGCCTGAATCATCTATAAAACTGAGGACATAGTTTGAAAACACTGACAATTTCCTTTTAATCTTCCCCAAATGAAATCATCAAATGCTTTTGTGTTTTTTTATTCTATAAAAATGTGCTCTCCAACAAATACCTATGAAATCAAGCACATTTTTCAGTTGCCTCGTATAAACAATTCCAGGAAGTACTGAGGCTAATTTGCAAAACATCCTTAGGTCTCAAATGTAACCTCGCAATACCAGCCTTCTCCACTCTTTGGTTAATGCTATGCGTAACCCATGCTGATTGTCCATCCTCAAAATCAGGAAAATAATAAGTAGCTCATAATATGTACCAATAAAGATTTGTAAGTTAATGCAGATGTACTAACCTGTAACTGGCCATTCTTCCAAGGGCCTAAATCACTAAGCTAGAACTTTTCTATTACGCCCATAATTCACTTCCAAATGCTCAAAACTGATCACGATGTTAATTTTGTTTGAGAGAGAGAGAGAGAGAGAGAGAGAGAGAGAGAGAGAGAGAGAGAAGCATACCAAGAATAAATGGTCAAAGTTCTGAAGAATAAGGTCTAAGGAAAACTAACTAGGCTTTGTATAAGCAATGAATGATGGGTAACAGAAAACAAGTATGGTCCATTTGTGAAGTCTGGAAATGAGGTTGCTAGAAAAGGCAACTGGATTAAGAAAAGTATCTAAAAGTGGGGGAGAACAGTACTTTCTGAAGGCAGCAAGAAAAAAGCCCATGTTTTCACCTTGACATCTTCAGACATCTAAGAATAAAGGGAAGTACGGGGTGGTATATATTACAGGGGAGTGAAAACAATTATTGGTTGGAGCCAGAGAATCCTGGGTTCAGATCCACTGGGTCCTTTGTGGGGCTCTAATGTGCAAGTGGAGTTGAAACCACTGCATTAGCGATTCCAAGACATAAGCACATGTAACCCAAACAGCTCAATATTAATGCTGGAGGGTAACGGGTTTATTTCACTGTTTACAATTAGTAGCTTATAATCTTGAAGGCAGTCTCATAGACACAAACACGCTGACTTTACAGACTTTGAACAGACGAAAGCTACATCATTCAAGGACCCTGTATAATAGACCACAGTGAAAATTAATGATCCTGAGAAAAAAAGATCTGCCTCTGATAGAAAAGAAAGCCCATTCCTTTAAAGTTAACAATAAAACGTTAATTTAAAAAATATCTGGCACACAATAATGTGTGTATGTAGTCTTTTCGATAGCTTAAGACTATCTCAATGTTAACTGCCCAGCTCTTCTCACGAAGTTGTTTGCAAAGTATCTCGATGACTGTTCAAGTCGTTAATGATCTTTTTTTTATATATAAAATAAAGATGGAACTCAAAAAGAACTCCTTTTATTATTACCATCTTAATTTTTGCTTCATTACCAGAAATAATGTATTTAAATGCTGGATCTTGCTCAGTAATTTTTATTTTTAAAACAACTATGCTCTTTGATTATATTTATGTAGAAAAAATATGTAGACAGGAAAGTATAAAGAAAATTAAAAATGATCCAATATACCCCTAAAATATAACAAAAGATTATGTCTTCCTAGTCTTTTTTGCATTTATGTAGAATTCTAAAACAAAATCAGTACTGTAAAATGCTCACTTTTTTTCATTTTATATTATACAGCAACCAATCCTTTAGGACATTAAATATTACATAAAAACATGATCTTCAGTTGGCCCCTTCATAATCTATTAGAGTTAAACCATAATTTATCTCTAATTTTTGGATATTCAGATTGTTTTGAAAATTTGCTATTAAAAACTGGCACAATATAAAACATCCTTCTTTACACATAATTCTTTGCAGTTATCATTCACTACCATATTTCTAATTTTTTAAAGATGAATTTTTAAAGATGAAAGGAGCAGAGTAACCAGCAAAAAGGGTGTTAAGTATTTTTAAGCCTTTTGGTACATTTACCAAACCGCTCTCCAGAAAGACTGTACACATTTACAGTGCCACCAATAAATAGTCCCATTTTGTCTTCATATCCTTGGCAACATAAGAAACTGCACCTCCCACCTGTTACTGTTATGAATTTAATGGGGGAAGGGTGAATGGTATCTTCTTGTCTTTTCTCTAAAGGTTAGGAATTTTCACATGTTTACTGGTCATTTGCTTCGCTGTTTTTTGGAGCAGTCCATGTCTTTCGGAAGGTATCTTTCACACGGGCATGGTCTTAGCACATGTTCTTCCTTAGCGGGCAAGGGCATGAAAGCTTTTCAGACTAAGCAAGACTTCCCCAAACGACTAGAATTAGAAAGTCTTATCTTCTGGGAAGTCATGCTATATTTTAATGTCTTGGTAACAAAACAGAGAACTGGGCCATATTCTGAAAGGAAAAAAGTAGGCACAGATTATAATTAACCAAGCACTTACTGGCTTTTATGTATGATTTTACTGGAATGCTGTTAAAAACTGTATTTTGATTTTAGAGTGTAAACTCATGAGACACACACTTTTAATAAATTCTCCAGGAAATTTGCATGTTCATCAAAGTAGAAATCACTAACCAGATGTGGGATTTCTGCAGAGCTCCTAACCCAGTGGTTCCCAACCTTCCTAAGGCCGCAACCCTTTAATACAGTTCCTCATGTTGTGGTGACCCCCAATTTCATTGTTACAAATTGAACATAACTAAAGCATAGTGATTGATCACAAAAACAATATGTAATTATATATGTGTTTTCCGATGGTCTTAGGCGACCCCTGTGAAAGGGTCGTTCGACCCCCAAAGGGGTCGCGACCCACAGGTTGAGAACCGCTGGACCTGACCAATTCCTTACTCTCCCTTCCTGTGAGCAAGGTTCATGATGCTTATCTCAGAGGACTGCTTGGATTCTCACCATCTCCATCCCTTACATATCCGCTAGGACACATTTACACATCAGCCCCAGCCTGGATTTTTGTTTATGCAACCTCCATTTTTCACCTTATCCCACTGAAAAAAAAATCCTTCAAATTTTAATGTCACTATCTCCAAAGAGAATAGGATCTTCTTCATGATAGCAAGTCTAATTGTATCGTTGCAAACCACGATTTGACGTACAGTGGGCACTCAGTGTTTCTGAAACCAATTAGTGAATGATATACATTTCAGTGCCGAGAGAGCTGAGAAGAAGGAAAAATTGTAAGGTGATCCTTAGTGCTATAGAACGAAGGCCTTGATTCTTCACTTTCTCTCTTTAGGTTACATATTCCTTTGAGAATCTGATGAAAGCTACATATACCCTCTTTAGAAAGGTATAGATAGAATACTACACACCACTGTAACCGGTTTGGCTCAGTGGATAGAGTGTCGGCCTGTGGACTGAAAGGTCCCAGGTTCGATTCCGGTCAAGGGCATGTACCTTGGTTGCGGGCACATCCCCAGTGGGAGGTGTGCAGGAGGCAGCTGACCGATGTTTCTCTAACTCTCTATCTCTCTCCCTTCCTCTCTGTAAAAAAATCAATAAATTAAAAAAAAAGAATACTACACACCAATTTTACACACAATTTCAGAAGCTTCAGAGGGGAGGAAAACACTGATTTCTAACATCTGGCATTCTGACTTAGAAATGAAGTGGAAATATTAAATTTATTGTCTGACAAGTCATCTAAGTTCAAGAGATTACAGCCAAATTGGGACAGTTGAGAAAAACCAAAATAGCAGTATGAGTCACAGTTCCAAGAAGTCAAGGTGGGCTTGCTTAACCATGCTTGAGTTGTGATGCTTTACTGCATTATTAGAGGCTAAGTGCGTGAAATTTGTGCCCTGGTGGGGAAGGGGTGGGGGTAGGGCGGTCCCTCAGCCCAGCCTGTGCCCTCTTGCAGTCGGGGACCCCTCAGGGGATGTCAAACTGCCGGCTTGTGGCTGGATGGCCTTCTGCTGCTGCACAGTCTGCTGCTTGAGCTTCAGCAGCTGCTGCACATACACAGGCTGGGCCACCAGTCTGTCCTGTGAACACCACCGAGTGGGTGAGTCAAGCGCAGTGGAAGGCTCACCTGAGTTCCCTGAGTCACTGAGATGTTCAGACTAACTGCCTTCTACAGAGAACATCACCAGGATTAGGTCCAAGATGGCAGTCAGACATTCCTCTCGCAGTCCGGGACCCCCAAGGGATGTAGCAGTGTGCCAAGCAGCAGGCAGCCAGGGAGGAGCCCGAATCAAGGCTGGGTGCCACATGGTTCGCACTCATCCTGGCCCACTGCGCCTGCTGCCACCGCCTGGTAGTGCTGCTATGGAGTCAGGAGAGGCTTCCACCATGGCAGCTGCACTTGCCAGCCATGAGACCGGTTTCTGGCTGCACTGGAGGCAGTTCCTGTGTTGAGCGGCTGCCCCCGGGTGGTCAGTGTGCATCATAGCGGCTGGTCGTTCTGCCGTAACAGTCACTTAGGCTTTTATATATATATATATATATATATATATATATATATATATATATAGATGCACATTACACTCAGGCAAATGTAACTGTTTCTAAACTGACATTCTCCAATTCTTATTATTTTCTAGTCCTCTTGTCTTCAATAAGGGCTTTTATATTTCAACTAGAGGCCTGGTGCACAAAAATTTGTGCACTCGGGTGTGGGGGAGGGGAGGTCCCTCAGCCCGGCCTGTGCCCTCTCGCAGTCTGGGACCCCTCGGAGGATGTCCACCTGCTGGCTTAGGCGGGCCTAACCTGGCAGTCAGACATCCCTCCGGCAGCCCGGCAGCCCTCGGGGGATGTCCACTTACCAGCAGGGAGCAGACCTAAGCTGCAGTCGGACATCCTTAGCACTGCTGAGGAGGTGGGAGAGGCTCCCACCACCACTGCTGTGCTGGCAGCCATCAGCCTGGCTTGTGGCTGAGTAGAGCTCCCCCTGTGGGAGCACACTGACGACCAGGGGACAGCTCCTGCATTGAGCGTCTGCCCCCTGGTGGCCAGTATGTCATAGTGACCAGTCATTCCCAGTCTTTCTGCTGTTAGGGTCCATTTGCATATTACCCTTTTATTATATAGGATAGAGGCCTGGTGCATGGGCAGGGGCCAGCTGGTTTGCCCTAAAGGGTGCCCCGGATCAGGGTGAGGATCCCGCTGGAGTACCTGCCCAGCCTGGGTGAGGGGCTGATGGCTCTTTGCAGGCTGGTCACACCCCCTTCAGGGTGGGGGTCCCTACTGGGGTGCCTGGCCAGCCTGGGTGAGGGGCTGAGGGCCATTTTCAGGCTGGCCAAGCCCGCTGGAGATGGAAGCTCTCAGCCTCTCCTTTATTTTATTTTATTTTTTTTATTCTGGGATTTATTTACCTCTATAATTGAAACTTTGAGCCTTGAGTGGAGCTCAGAGCCAGGCAGGGTGGGAAGCTTGGTTTCCTCCATCGCCAGGTGCAACCCAAGCCTCCTGCTCGCTCCAGCTCTGTGGCCACGGCCAGCTGAAAGCAGGTATCTGGGATTTAGTTATATTCTATAACTGAAACTTTGTTGCCTTGAGTGGAGCTCAGAGCTGGCCGCGGCAGGAGGGAAGCTTGGCTTCCTCCATCGCTGGGGCAAGCAAGCCTCCTGCTTGCTCCAGCTCTGTGGCTGCTGGCCGCCATCTTGGTTGGGTTAATTTGCATATAGTCGCTGTGATTGGCTGGTGGGCATGGCTTAAGGCATAGCAAAGGTACGGTCAATTTGCATGTTTGTCTTTTATTAGTGTAGACTAGAGGCCTGGTGCACAAAATTCGTGCATGGGCAGCAAAAGAAACCATCAACAAAACAACGAGAAAACCCACTGTGTGGGAAAACATATTTGCCAATGTCATATCTGATAAGGGCCTAATCTCCAAAATTTATAGGGAACTCATACAACTTAACAAAAGGAAGATAAACAATCCAATCAAAAAATGGGCAAAGGACCTAAATAGACACCTTTCAAAAGAGGACATTCAGAAAGCCAAGAGACATATGAAAACATGCTCAAAGTCACTAATCATCCGAGAGATGCAAATCAAAACAACAATGAGGTACCATCTCACACCTGTCAGACTGGCTATCATCAACAAATCAACAAACGACAAGTGCTGGAGAGGATGTGGAGAAAAAGGAACACTTGTGCACTGCTGGTGGGAATGCAGACTGGTGCAGCCACTATGGAAGACAGTATGGAATTTCCTTAAAAAACTGAAAATGGAACTCCCATTTGACCCTGTGATCCCACTTCTAGGAATATATCCCAAGAAACCAGAAACGCCAATCAGAAAGGATATATGCACCCCTATGTTCATAGCAGCACAATTCACCATAGCTAAGATCTGGAAACAGCCTAAGTGCCCATCAGTAGATGAATGGATTAGAAAACTGTGGTACATCTACATGATGGAATACTATGCTGCTCTAAAAAGGAAGGAACTCTTACCATTTGCAACATCATGGATGGAACTGGAGAGCATTATGCTAAGTGAAATAAGCCAGTCAATGAAGGAAAAATACCACATGATCTCACTCATTCATGGATAATAGAGACCATTATAAACTTTTGAACAATAATAGATTCAGAGGCAGAGCTGCCTCAAACAGATTGTCAAACTGCAGCGGGAAGGCCGGGGAGGGTTGGGGGGCAGGAGGTAGGGAGGTAAGAGATCAACTAAAGGACTTGTATGCATGCATAGAAGCATAACCAGTGGACATAAGACACTGGGGGATAGGGGAGGCTAGGGGACTGTCTAGGGTGGGGGGATAAAATGGACACATATGTAATACCCTTTGTAATACTTTAAGCAATAAAAAAAAAAAAAAAAAAAAAAAAAAAGAAAGAAATTCGTGCATGGGGTGGGGGGTGTCTCCCTCAGCCGGGCCTGCATTCTCTTGCAACCCGGGACCGCTGGCTCTTAACCAATCGCCTGCCTGCCTGCCTGCCTGATCGCCCCTAACTGCTCGCCTGCCTATCTCAATGCCCCTAACCCAGCCATAGGCAAACTACGGCCCGCGGGCCGGATCTGGCCCATTTGAAATGAATAAAACTATTAAAAAAAAGACCGTACCCTTTTATGTAATGATGTTTACTTTGAATTTATATTAGTTCACACAAACACTCCATCCATGCTTTTGTTCTGGCCCTCCAGTCCAGTTTAAGAACCCATTGTGGCCCTCGAGTCAAAAAGTTTGCCTGCCCCTGCCCTAACCACTCTGCCTGCCTGATCACCCCTAACTGCTCTCCTGCCTGTCTGATTGTCCCTAACTGCCTCTGCCTCTGCCCCTGTGGCTATGTCCAGAAGGACATCCGGAAGGTCGTTGGCTGTCCGGTCTACTTAGCAAATGACGCTTTTATTATTATAGATATGATAAAATACTTCATGGAGGAAAGGGATTATCATTTATTCATTAAAGAACATTTATTTCCTATGTATACAGGTTGAAACAAACTGATGTTTCTCGTTCCTTATGGACCTAAAAGTCTAGTAGGAAAGATAGATTACAAATCCCATATTCTTGACTTTGCCAGTCCTAAAGGCACCTCAATTATACTAGTGTGCAGGAGCCTGCTCATACCAGCTTACGAAACCCATCTATGTGTATCCTGTCCAGCTTATCAGTGGCTTCATGTTGGTAGCTTAAAGTCAGCTATACTGGAGCATTTACACCACATAAACTGGCAAACAGTATAAATCATGACTTCCCCACACCCAGGGTTTTCAATCATTCACTACCATATTGCATCCTCATCACACTAAAATTATGGCTCTTGTTCCAAGGCTCCTCAATGGTAATTGGGGTAGGGAGGGCTTATATCAACTTTTCAAATCCTTTCTCAACTACAGGCATAAGACCTAAGAGTATAGGTGTGTCCTAGGACACCTCAGAACATACTGGCTACCCTCTTTGGATATTAGGTGAATGTAAAATCTGATCAGTTTGAGGCAACTCCTTATCTAATATGGTTAATCAAGAGTCACATGTCCAAATGAAAATCATACATGTCTGAGTGTAGCAGTCAGTTTAAATTACAGAGTGGGACAAAGTAGGCTTACAGTTGTGAGTATGCAAAACACAGAGTTTATTCTTGTACTATTACTAATTATTTCCTTATTTTCCAACTGAGCAACTGTAAGACTATTTTTGCCCCACTCTGTATATTTGGGGAGATAATACTAGAGTTGAAAAGTTACCACCTGATTGGCATGGATCAGTGGTTGAGCGCCAACCTACAAAACAGGAGGCCACGGTTTGAATGCCAGTCAGGGCACATGCCCAGGTTGTGGGCTCAATCCCCGGAAGGAGGCATGTAGGAGGCAGCTGATCAATGATTCTCTCTCATCATTGATATTTCTATCTCTTTCTCCCTCTCTCTTCCTCTCTGAAACCAATAAAAATAAAAAAAGAAAAAGTTACCAACCTGCAACCCACCCGATGTTTATCATTAATGACTCTTAGTTAGATGCAACATGAAGAGTAAGCAGATATTCCCCGGCACCATTTTGTTACTGCTCTGTCAGTTTTAGCTTAAAAGGCTGCAACCACTCTGCATGGATCTGCCAAAGAAAAAACAACTTCCTTGGCTACGTAGGCCACGTGAAGAGCCAGTGCTATCCATCTTCTGAAGTAGGACTTAAGAGATACGCTGCAGGGCAGAACCGTGTCAAGAATCTGGCGGATTCTCCCCACCTCAACTTCCAATGGTCTTGCATTACCAGCCAGCTCTAACTACCCAATATCACAAATGGTTACTAAGGAAGGAAATGGAATGAAAACTTGCAGAAAACATCTAGGCCAGTATAAAACACAGGAGGAGATGCACCAAGGGTGAGATGCACATAATAGGAAAGGCAGCTGAGGATGTGGAAGTGTCTGCTTGCAGATGGCTCAGGATACTTACCTTCAGGTTATGGAGGGTTTCTGACCATTCCATGGAACCTATCTGAGGTATGGTCGTGAGGAGCAAACTTTTGGCTTTGTTGGCATTTTCTTTCAGGGTCTTTAAAACCCGGTCCACCGAAACCTAGGGAAACAGCAGCACAGGATGTTTCCAGCAATTAAAAAATCACACTTTTTGTGGAACATTTCCCTAAGTTCCTTCCCGATCTGTGAAGTCAGTTGACTCTAGTTTCAACCCCAGCCCAAGTTTTGCATTTATCAAAATGGTCTTGGTCCCATGGGGGAGGTCTTAGAGAAAACAAACACCTCTGAAAAGTACCGTTTGCAACATGATTTCTAAGAAACTCTCTCCAGAGGTGTCATGTGTTAGCAGCTCTAGAAAGCTGTGGCTATTCTCCCCAGGTCCACAGAATGGATCCCAGCCATAAAACTGTTGCTACACTGGATCACCAACCAGTCCAAAAAGAAACATTTCTCGAGAGAAGTCTTCCAGCTAATAAAGAAAAATGATGAAATCAGGATATCATGATTTTCTTTTAACAGCTCCCAATGAATTAATGGATGGGCTGCTAACATCACACACACAACCCAAACCAAACAAACAACCCACTCTTCCGATGAAAAAACTAAATGCTACGTAGGATACCTGAATCTGCATAAGTCTAGATCCATCTACCAATTTTCATAAAATACAGAGGACAGAGACTCTGGTTAAACTACGCTGATGAGATGATTTCAACAATTCAGACTGTGGGAAAGTATAGGTCAAATCACTTGGTTTCTTTTTAGAAAACTTGGAAGAAATCATCTGAGATAACTGGAAACTCGAACTTTGCCTGGGAATGATAAGGCATTATGGCTGGAATGTGACAAGGACAAGGTGGCTAGGTTAGATACCTCCTAACATGTTGATGGACAAAGCTAGGGATCAAAGTACAGATGAAATATGAGTGGCTATAAGTTGATGTGATAATGGTTGACGTTGGATTCACAGAAACCCATAGTATTGTCTGCTTTTGTACGTAACTAAAATTGCTTCATAAGGAAAGGCTGGAAAAAGCTGTGGACTATACACTGGCTGGTTAGAGGAAGAGTACTTGTCACACTTCACTCTACTTAGAAGTAATCCAAGACTCAGGGCACAGCGGTTACAGCTTTCATTCAGTTTCCTGGAGTATAAAGTCCAGAACCCTCCCACAAACACCAGGATGTGGTTAGACAAAACGATCAGTACCGCAGCAGAGGACGTCCCATTACTGTGGGAACACAGAGCAGTGACCAGCTGGGTGCCTGTCAGGCCAACATACGGGCACAGTTCAAGTGGATCCTTGAAATGCAGGGTCATAAAGCGTGCAAGAGGTTTACCTTACATTCACTCTTGTCCTTACACTTCCTGTGACTGGTATTTCTATGTAGACTGACTTCTGTTCTCTTTGGTCCTGCTACTGGGCTCCACCCAAAATGCCTCCCTATTAACCTCCTCATGATCAAATCTTACCCTCTGTTGGAGGACCAGCTCAATTCTCAAGTTTCCTTCACAATTTTTTTATAGTCTTTCTACCCCCACTGCCATCACTGCTACTACCTGGTGACCAACCTCCTAGGAGCCAGCATTCAACTAGTTGCTCTACACATTCCATTTGGCTCAATTCTCCCAGTAATCCAGCAAGATTAGAAGTGTAACTGAACAACTCACGCCCCTCACCCTGAAGCCCTGGCTCCATCCCACAGAAGAGTAACTTGTTAAATTACAGGCCTGGTATCACAAGTAATTGGAGGAACAGGAATTTGAAGGTGGCGTGGCAACTCTAAAACCGTTTGATCGTGGCAGGCTGCACATCTGGTGTGACGCACAACACACGCGCTGGCTGGCTGAGATGATGCTATCTGTCATATATTCGTGTGGCACTCAACATTATTTGCCTTCATGACTTACCACTTACACAAACCTAGCTTCTCTGCTTTTAATTGAAGTAGTTCCAACTGACTGCTTTCCAAACCTCACGGGGTCGACTGAAGGAAAGCACCGTTAGCTCTGCAGAGAGATATGTTCCTAGATGAGGCAGAAAGCCACAGGCAGGCAACAATGCGTCCTCAGGGAGTGGCAGACACTGACGTCTTCTATTCATTGGGAGCAGCTTCCTAACACCGTGAGGCCAAGCAGTTCCCTTTGATGAGAGGGACTGTGCTGCAGCAGGATTTACAAAACTCTTAAATTAAAAAGCATCCTCATGGTTAATTACACTGAAGAGTCAGGATAAGGCATCATGCAAGACACAGAACCTGTGTTCATCTATGTCCCAAAATCCATGTAAATGAACAGACAGAGAGCAAGAATATTCCTGTTTTACATGAGACTGAGTGGTGAAACAAGCAGCCCTGTGATAGTGGGAAGGGTCCCCCTGCAGAAGATGTCACTTGTCCTACATGTGCTCAGAGCAGCCACCCCTACACTTTTTTACTTCAAAATTCCTTGACTGGCCTGGTCAGTGTGGCTCACTGGTTTAGCATCAACCCATGAACCAGGAGGTCATGGTTCAATTCCCGGTCAGGGTACATGCTTGATCCCCAGTGGGGGGTGTGCAGGAGGCAGCTGATCAATGATTCTCTCTCATCATTGATGCTTCTATCTCTTCCTCTCCCTTCCTCTCTGAAATCAATAAACACATATGACTGTAGTTCTGTCCCTTTCTCTATTTTAAAATAAATGATCCAGTTTCTTTAAGTGAAATGCAAGGGATGAAGAGAGAAAAATACTAGGTTAAAAGAGACTCTGAATAGTTGAAAATGATGAGACAAGAGGGAAAAAGTGAACAATCTAAATACTTGAGTATATTAAGAAATTAATATCAATATGTTTTGTACATTAACGGTCCTGTGGCTGTTTTTTACTATTTTATTTTTTATAAAAGAGGCCCTCAGCCAGGCTAGTATGGCTCAGTGGTTGAGTATCGACCCATGAACCAAGAGGTCACTGGTTTGATTCCTGGACAGGGTTGTGGGTTTGATCCCTGAGGTGGGGGGACATGCAAGAAGCAACCAATCAATGTTTCTCTCTCATCGATGTTTCTATCTCTCTATCCCTCTCCCTTCCTCTCTCTAAAATCAATACAGACACACAAAGAAATATCACTCCACCATGCACTATATATATACACTAGTGGCCCTGCGCACAAATCCGTGCGTGAGTAGCTTGCTGCTGCGTGCCTCAGCTGTCTGCCCCGCCCATTCGTAGCTCTCCACCGCATGTAGCTCGCTGCCCTGCCCTCCTGCTGACTGGTCATTACGTGACAGTGTCCCAACCAATTGGTAGATTACCCTACTATAAGTATAGATATATTTTAAAAAGGCCTTTATAAAAACTATTTACTTATGAAGGCAGGGAAGAAAGAAGTGGGTAGGGGCATATGTATGACACAAAGTGGGCCATGGCCCATACCTGGAAGGCTGGGTGATGGGTCACTGGGGTTTATTATACTAGACTCTCTACTTTTGGAGATGTTCCAAATTTTTCACAATGAAAGTCTTTGTTCTGGAAGCCTGACCTCACCCGTCTGGCTGGACCATGCCGTTTTTATTACCTAAAACCTCGTACTGACTTCCCATCTGAAACACAGTCTCCACAGCTCTGCTTCCTTCTGTTCCCTCCCCTCCTCTCCACTTAAGCATGCCCACCTTCCCCATCATGTAAGGAAGCTTCCCTGGCTGAGTCAAGTGGATTCATACGCCTGTATCTCACCTGAGCTTTCTCACATTCGTTTGCTTAACCTCTAACCACCCACCTCCCCCTCTCCGTGAAAACCACAGAATGCTGGCTCCTTACCAACTTGTTTTGTTTGCTCCCACACCCAGCATGGTATCCAGTCATGGTAGGGTAAACAAGATAGTTATGACTAGAGCCCACTTACCAGAAAGATATTAAGAAACAGTTAAGTTTTTTTCCATGGAAAAAAAGAGCACAGACAGTAGCACCGCATAAGGAAATTACAACCAGGACCTTGATCCTTAAAATAAGGCCCAAATCTCAATATGATTCCCAGCATGCCTACAATGTACAGTTCATTGCTAATCCGTGGATAAAAGTGTTTTTTTCTTTGCTCTGAAGATCCTGGTCCTTACTTTCCAAAGTCAACTATAGGAAATATCTGGTAATACTTAACGACGATGTATTAAAAGTTGACTTTAAAACCTGGAAGAAAGGTACTTTCTGGAAAGAATGCAATAAAAACACATAGTGAAGATCCTTTCTTTCTGGGGCTCATGGCACCTGGCAAGTCAGGCCATACGTGCTCTGGAGAGAATTCGACCTACCACTTCCTCGTGCTCCTTCCAGCAATCATAATCTGTTGCCATGGCAATACTTGCATAGCAAAGTCCAGCCTCCTTAGCAAGAACCACCTCTGGAACTGTGGTCATGTTGATAACATCTGCCCCCCAGGCACGAAACATGATGCTCTCTGCCCGTGAACTAAAACGTGGTCCTTCAATCGTGAGCATGGTCCCTTTGGAGTGGTACCGGAGTCCGAGCTTCTTAGCAGTCTCTGTCAGGACCTAGAAGAGAAGGAACCACAAACGCAAAACATGCAAACCTAAGTCCAGCTTACTATTTTATTTTCCCCTGAAATGTAAAAGGTTGAGTCGTTAAAGATCTTTATTATAAAAGCCTAGTAGCTGCTGACCCTCAGAGAGAACCGGGGAGCGTCACAGTTTTCCCAGACCCTCAACCACGCACACATCCTGTGTCCCCCGCCCCTGCACGTACAGCTCACAGCTACGAAAGAGAACAGTGAGCTTTTCCTACGCACCAGGAATGTGTTTACAAGTTTTAATCGCATGTACTTCTTCACAGCTTGAAGCAACAAAGCTGGGGTGTGAGCAAGGACTTGAGACGGAGCTTTTAAGCTCCAGGCTCAGCACAGGTGGCGCTCCTCATCACATCTTCTCAGAGAGATGTGTGGACAACCGTTTCTAAGCTCCTGAGAAATTCATTCTCATTGCTCTTTTGTGAAAAGTCTGCAGACTTCTGTAAAAGCTCTTTTTTTTTTGGTTAGAAAGTAATTACTCTATAATCTCTTTTGCCTGTTGCCTCTGCAAGGACATACAGTAAAAACAGAATGGGCCCATGCTGATTATTTTCTGTCCAGGGATAGACGTATCTTAGCCTGTGCTTCAACATTCCTTTCTAATTAAAAAAAAAAAAAAAAATTAGTCTTTTAAATTTAACTGTTTATTGAGGACCGCTGAAAATTCACTTAACCTTTGTCGTAGTTTTCTCACCTGTAAAATGGGATAATAATACTGTATATGACTCAAGAGACAGTGTGAGGATTAAATGAGCTAAGGATATACAGCACAGAATTGTGTCAGAGACACTGTAAACATATAAATGCTAAACTGGTCTTCTTTCTATTAGAAGCACAGCAGGTCCTTGAACAATGTTATTTCATTATAACATTGAAGAGGAAAAAAGATCGATTCCCAATGGGCCACTGTCTGCGTGGAGTGTGTTTTCTCTAGGGACTCAGGTTTCCTCCTACATCCCCAAGATGTGAGTTTAGGTTGTATCTACATTGTCCCAGCGTGAGTGTGAGTGCCTGTGAGTGCACCCTGCGATGAAAGGGCATCCAGTCCAGAGGGGGCCCCGCCTGGTGCCCTAAGCTGCTCAGATAAGCTCTGGCCACCTACGATCCTGATCGAGAATAAATGGGCTGGGAAATAACTATCTTACTTGTTTTGATTCACCTTCCTTAAATGTATGCATAGCTCACATTTATTTCAATGTTTAATATTAGAAGAGTTTGGGGGATCTTTATATTTAGAAGTTTGGTGATGTTTCTGTCACTGGAAATATGCCACAAGGACTTAACTCTTGTCTATCTCAGCCTAAGGTAAAATTGGTTTAGTTATATATCATTTTGCATAAAGACAGTTTCCAAGAACCTATGGACAAGGTTAAGTGAGGATTTATTGTACTGGCAGCTTCTATAGGTTCACCAAATAATTGGCAAAGCTTCCTGAGATACCATCCTATATAATAAAAAGCTAATATGCAAATTGTCCCCTCGACCAGAGTTCAACCAGGGGGAAGGGCCGGCCTGCCAACTGCCCGCAGCCCCTCCCCCGGGCTGGCCCAGCCTGATCCCACTTGTGCACGAATTCGTGAACTGGGGGGAAGGGGGGGGGGAGAAAAAAAAATATATATAAAATGCAGTGACTCACGCTCAATAGAAGGCTCTAATCTAGGGAAAATCTTGCCTGCTCATGTGTGAACCACATAAGTAAATTAATCCATTTCCTTAAAAAACAACTTATGCTATGACAATGGGGAGAAAAAATTTTAACAAGAGCTTTGGTAATTCCAAATTTAGCACCACGAGAAGCCACAGAAAATGAATAGTTGATGCTACTTCATGTTTCTTTATTCTGTATGTGGTAAAAATAAGACTATGCGTAACCAAAGCTTTCCCCCAAAGAGTAAAGGTTATAAATGCAGGGGCCTAAATCATGCCTCCCCTCCTTTTTTCAAAATTAATATATAACCAGTCCTGGTCGGGTGGCTCAGTTGGCTGGAGTGTCATCCCGTACATGAAAAAGGTTGTGGGTTCAATCCCTAGTCCAGGCACGTATGGGAGGGAACTAATCAATGTTCCTCTCTCACGCTGATGTTTCTCTCTGTCTCTCCTTCCCCCTGTCCCTCTCCCATCAATAAAAACATATCTTTGGGTGAGGATTAAAAAAAAGTTATATAACAAGCACTGCCCTGTTTTCATTAAATGTCTTTTAAAATCCCAAATAACCGAGCTGTCTGTCTCAGCCAACCTAGAGTGCTTCTAGAGATCAGTGGAGGAAGATCATAGCTACCAGCGGCGGAGGCAAGAGGTCCTCGCCATCACCCTGGGAGGTGGGGGCCGTGACGGGAGGAGGAGGAGGACGCAGAGGCTCCTAGATGCGCACTGGGGCCTCTCTGCTTAAACCACCACTTTGCACCAACACCTTAAGGTGTCAGAAATACAAAAGACAAGCTGAGAGATTTCTGGGTCTGAGGTTAAGCTGCTCTCATTTCCATGTCTCGAGTCATCATAATGGAACTCCTGAATCTATCATCCTTGACTCTAAAATATTAGCAATATCAGATCACCAGGCAAAATACATTTCATGAGTCAAGATTCTCAGAGTGTCTATCAAATCACCTCCTAAAATGACTAGAAGTGACACTAATTTTGGAATAGGTAACATTTGCAGAGAACAAAATGGTATTATTCTTCCACCCATGTCCCCATGGCGCAGTTCACCTTCCCAAGGGAAACACTCCTTTCGCACATAAATATTCTCATATTCATCTCCTTACCTATTTACACACATTTTAACACAAATGTACAAGGGAGGCCACGTTCTACTACTGGCAACTTCCACCAGCCACCACATTTACATGTGCTCTGTAATCATCACTAGCACTTCCACCACCTACGTATACCCCTAATATTACTGTACGTTACTTATTTTCTGCCTGGGAAAAGATCTTCGATCTCCTACACTCTCTCCCTAGTCTACCGTATTCCTTCCCAAACTGCCCCCATTTTGAAATGGACAAGAATTTTTTTTTTTTTAAAAAATATATTATTATTTATTTCAGAAAGGAAGGGAGAAAAAGAGAGAGATAGAAACATCAATGATCAGAGGGAATCATTGATTGGCTGCCTCCTGCACGTTGGACCGAGCCTGCAACCCAGGCATGTGCCCTTGACTGGAATCAAACCTGGCACCTTTGGGTCCGCAGGCTGACACTCAATCCACTGAGCCAAACCAGCTAGGGCGAAGTGGACAAGAATTTTACACACATCTAGTTTCTGCTGGAGAGCGAATTTATTGTGTGGGTAGACCCATGTTTCAGAGGGAAGACTGGCAGCATTCTGATATATTCTGCTGATAACCACCCAGAAACATATACATTTAAATACATACATACACACTGAACCTGCCACTTATGTTTTCACAGAACTCAGAGAGAATGTACAGTGGTACACCTCAAATGGCTCCCCGCAACCCCTTACCGTGCATTCTAGATTTTGTTGTTTGTGGGTTTTTTTAAAATAGGGTGAGGTTAAGAGGCCGTTGACTCCACGGAAACTGGTTTTACATGGTTATGCAGGGGTGAATAGAAAAGCTGCTTTCCATGTGCAGGTGTTAAAACTAGTTTACTTTCTCTGCTCTTCAGCATAATAGCTGTGTGTCATTGGAAAAGTTACTTTACACCTCTGAGCTTCAGTTTCCTCATTTGTAAAATGAAGGCAGTAATTACATATACATTGTAGGACTGTGTGAGGGATAAAAGAGTTAATACCTAGAAATGTATATTAGTATAGAAACATCCAATGACTGGTAACTGCATTTATGAATCAAATTATTATCATTGCTGTTCTATACACTGTCAGGTTGTCATCATTTACGTTTGAGCTGAGTTTGGCCATTACTCTCCAGCCTTCTCTCTGGGATTAGAGTAAAATCTCAGAACAAAGGGGGCAGCCCCACAGAAGTCGGCATCAGGCCGTAGCCCTCAGAGAATAAAAATGGCTATCACAATTCAAAAGTCCGTCTCCTGCTCCATGCATGGTATTTCTCATATATTCCAGGTTTGGAATTCAGGTGCAACACAACAGATTAGAAGCATTGTCAGTGATGTACTAGCTAGTGAGATCAATTTTTAAATTAATATACAGAATATAAATACCTACACATGTTAGTCATTCAGTTGGTTCCAGACTATATACTCTTGACTAATATGCTAGTCTACACTAAATTATTTAAAAAGTATCCGGACAGCAAAATCAAAACTTATAAAGAAGGTAGGTTGCTACTTTGAGTGATTCGGCTTACAAATGACTGACAGTAGAGAAAGCATTATTAGCAAAGGGAAACAACTTTCACAAAACCTCGCATAGGACGTTAACTTGAGAGAAAGAGGGACCATGTGCTTATTAGTGAGGCCCAGTGAATTTTGTGCATGGGGGAGGGAGGGTGTCCCCTCAGCCTGGCCTGCACCCTCTCCAATCCGAGAACCCTCGGGGGATGTCCGGATTGCCTCTCGCAATCAGAGACGGCTGGCTCCTAACCACTCGCCTGCCTGCCTGCCTGATCGCCCCTAACCACCTCTGGCTTGGCCCTTCACCCGGGACCCAGGATTCCTTCCTCCAGCCGGCTGCAGTCACCCGGGACCCGGGCTTCCCTCCCTCTGGCTGTTTGCAGGGGTCGGCGGCTTCACTTGGGCCCAGCTTTGTCAGGATGTCCGGATGGTCATCCAGAAGACATCCGGTCTAATTAGCATATTACCCTTTTATTAGTATAGATTAATCTAACTCTAAATGCCAACCCAAGCCCTCACAATTTATTTTGGTGTACTTTCCAGACAGATTACAAACCTCTCTCGTTTTGGGGCAGAACGGCTCAGCCATTGGGATGTGGCACACTCCTCTGGCACAGGAGTGACTCCCATCATAGAAGGTCTGAGGCCTCGTGGTGGTCCTACAAAACAAAGTGAAAAGGTTTTGTTTCAAAGAAGGCCAACTTTCCTTGGCCAGGTGGCTCCGTTGGTTGAGTGTCCTCCCCTGCACCAAAAAGTTTTGGATTCCATTCCCAGTCAGGGTGCATATGGGAGGCAAACAATCAATGTTCCTCTATCACAGTGATGTGTTTTTTCTCTCTCTCTCCTTCCCTCTCTCAAATCAATAAAAACAGTGGATTCCAAAAAACGGTGGCGACATAAGTGGAAGCTACACTGACACACTCCCAGGACCAAACTGGAATTACAATGAAAATACAGAAAATCTGGAGAGAACCCTGATCACCAAGGACAGAAAGTATAGACTGGTCCTCGCTGGTTTGGCTCAGTAGATGGAGCACTGGCCTGCGGACTGAAGGGTCCCAGGTTTGATTCCGGTCAAGGGCACATGCCTGGGTTGCGGGCTTGATCCCTACTGTGGGGCATGCAGGAGGCAGCCAATCAACGATTCTATCTCATCATTGATGTTTCTGACTCTCTCTCCCTCTCCCTTCCTCTCTGAAATCAATAAAAATATATTTAGAAAAGAAAGAAAAGAAAGAGAGCAGCGACCAAACAGAGACTGATAGGAAGTGCGGAGGCACCAAAGGAGGGTTGGTGGGGCTCCCATAGACAGCAGCTGTGGGGGGTTCCCACTGAGAACTCTGGGGCCTACAGCACAAGCTGGGCTCCCTTTCACAGAGCACTGGACCTGAGAAAGTTGCTCACATAACATCTGGCTATAAAAAGCAGCAGGACTGCTGTCTGCCAGCAATAGATGACTGGAAATGCTGGCACACTCATAAAGAGCCAATGCACAAAATTTTGGGGGCAGCCACTCACCTTGGCAGAGTGGACTGGAGTTGTGCGAGCAGAAGCCAGGGTTGGGGGCCCTAGGGTTAGACCTCAGAAGGCAGACACCCTGGTTTTCTGTGCTGTGCTGAGTCATTCCCTCACGCTGCAGAGGACATCTTTCTCCCGTGGACCTTTGGGATCTAGGTGGTTTTGCTTGGGGAAAGGCAGTTGCCCCACTCTATTGGGAAAACCCCTTGCCCCTTCCTGTGGAGTTTCCAAGACCCATTAAGAGACTAAGAATAACAATCCACCTGCAGGCAGAAGTAATTGCCCCATCCTGTTGGAAAACCTCTTACCCCACAGTGTGGTCTATAGCCAGAGGCTAATCAAGACTGAATACAATCAGAATGCAGGCAGACATGGAACTCTGGAGGCTTTGTCTTTGCCTGATCTAATTTGGGGCCCAGGGCTAGGAAAAGCAGGCCTTGGTGCACATCTTGGTCCTTTCCAAAGGCACCTAGCCCCCACATAGGGAACCACAAGCTGTGGATTGCTGATAGCTGCAAACAGGGTACTCAGGGGCAGTTAGAAACAGCATCTGGCACTGTCTTACATTACAGCTTGGGAGGCATAGTAGATCTATCTAATACATAGACACAAACCCAAATAGGCAGCCAAAATGGGGAGACAAAAAAATCAAACAAGCCCCAAATGAAAGAACAAGAGAATTCTCCAGAAGAAAAGCTAAATGAAATGGAAATAAGAAATTTATCAGACATACAGTTCAGAATAATGATGGCAAAGATGCTCAAGAGCATGAGAAAAGATACAGTAACTATGAAGAATAACATAACACTAATAAAGAACACAGTGGGGAGGAACACACAGCAGATTAGGGGAACTGAGATTGGATCAGTGAATTAGAAGACAGGGTAGAAAAAAAATCACTCAATCAAAGAACCAAAAAGGAAAAAAAAAATTAAAAAACAGGACAGCTGGGAATAGAGGGATCATACCTCAACATAATAAATAAAGGCTATATATGACAAAGCTACAGCCAATATCATACTCAATGGGCAAAAATTAAAACCATTTCCACTAAGAACAGGAAAAAGACAGGGGTATCCCCTTTCACCACTCTTATTCAACATAATACCGGAAATGCTAGAAAAAGTGATCAGACAAGAAGTAAACATAAATGGCATCCAAATTAGACAGGAGAAATTAAAACTCTCATTATTTGTAGATGACATGATATTGACACCCTAAAGACTCCACCAAAAAAATACTAGATTTAATAAAATGATTTTGGCAATGCAGCAGGATACAAAGTTAACACTCAGAAATCAATGGCATTTTTATATGTCAATAATGAATTCTCAGAAAGAGAAAGAAAACAAACAACCCTATTTACTATAGCAACCAAAAAGACTTGTACTCTGAAAACTACAGGACATTGAAAAAATAGATAGAGGAAGATATAAAGAAATGGAAGACTATACCATGTTCATGGATTGATAGAATTAACATCATTAAAATGTTCATACCACCCAAAGCAATCTATAGATTCAATGCAATCCCTATTAAATTACCAATGGCATATTTCACAGATCTAAAATAAATACTCCAAAAACTTATATGGAACCAAAAAATCCCAAAATAGCCACAGCAATCTTAAGAAAAAACCAAGTTGGAGGGATCACAATACCAGATATCAAGTTATATTACTAAACCACTGTAATCAAAACAGCCTGCTACTGGAACAAGAACAGATATATGGATCAATGGAACAGAACAGAGACCCCAGAAATCGACCCAAGCCATTACATTCAATTAATATTTGATAAAGGAATGAAGAGCATACAATGGAGTCAAGACAGTCTCTTCAGTAAATGGCGCTGGGAAAATTGGACTGATACATGCAAAAATATGAAACTAGACCACCAACTTATAACATACACTAGAATAAACTTAAAATGGATAACTTAAATGTAAGACGTGAAACAATAAAAGCCCTAGGAGAAGCCATAGCAGCAAAGTCTCTGACATTTCTCATAGCAATGTGTTTATGGATACATCTCTTAGGGCAAAAGAAACTAAGGAGAAAATAAACAAATGGGATTACATCAAAATAAAAATTTTCTGCACAGCAAAAAGAAACTATCAACAAAATAAACAGGGAGCCCACTGTATGGGAGAACATATTAGCCAATGATACATCTGATAAAGGTTAATATCCAAAATATAAAAGGAACTCATTCAACTTAACTAAAGGAAGACAAACAATCCAACTAAAAAATGGGCAAAGGACCTAAATAGACACTTCTCAAAAGTGGACATACAGATGGCCAAGAGACATATAAAAAAATCCTCAAAGTCATTGATCATCAGAGAGATGCAAATTAAAACACCTGTCAGAATGGTTACCATCAACAAATGACAAGTACTGGCAAAGTTGTAAAGAAAAGGGAATCCTAGTACACTGCTGGCGGGAATGCAGATTGGTGCAGCCATTAGCTAAGATCTGTAAACAGCCCAAGTGCCTATCAGTAGATGAGTGGATAAAAAAGCTGCAGTACATTTACACCATGAAGGATATTATGCTAAGCAAAATAAGCCAATCAGAGAAAGATAAGTATCACATGATCTCACTCATATGTGGAATCTAATGAACAAAATAAACTGATTAACAAAATGAATCCAGAGACACAGAAGCATGGAACAGACTGTTGAATCTCAGAGGGAAGGCGGGGATGTGTGGGAAGAGATCAACCGAAGAACTTATATGCATATATACATAACCCACGGACACATACAATAGGATGAAGGGCTGGGGCGGGGAGCCTGGGTGGGCTATAAGGGGTCAATGGGAGAAAAAAGGGAACATATGTAATACTTTCAACAATAAAGATTTTTTAAAAATAATAAGAGAAAATCAATAAAAACACATTAAAAATAATTTTTTAAAAAAGGCCATCTCTCCATTCTCTGGGGCTGGTGAAATCAACTCTATATAGATCAACATTTTGGTCCTCACTCCAGAATCAATAGCTCTGGATAAGCTGAAGGCAAATGGTAAAAACGCAGCTTCAGGATGGTATTTGGCTTCCCTGGCCCTGAGTTGGTGGCAGCGTACTTTCCAACAGATGCCTGTGATCTGGTGGCTGTGACAGGATAAGCACAATGTTTTGCAGACACAGCTCAACTCTGGGCTCAGGAGGGCAGATCAAACACTTAAGAAGTCAACGTGAATATTCCCAATCACTGTAAATGTAGAGGACCGAATACTGAGCCCCATTGATATCCATCACCTCGATTCAACAATTTCCAAAATTTGGTCAAATATGCTTTATCTGTTAGCATTTCCCTGGTGGCAAATCCCAGGCTTTTGTCATGCACCCCTACTTCAGATGGACCAAAATACGTGGACTATTTCCACTGCCATGTCATTACCACATAAATAAAAATAACATTAATTCCGCAGTATCAGCTAATACATAGACCATATGCAAATTTCCCTGTTGTCCTTAAAAATGTCCTTTTTGAAAAAACAGTTGCTTTGTTAGTTTCAGGTCCATTAAAAGCCTTCGTCTTGCAGTTGATTGTCATTTATTGAACCCTGACACTAGTAGCCCAAAGCCACCTCGCTCAAAGATGAGACCTCAGTGCGGGGGAGGAATGAAGAAGACCTGTCAGTGTTCTATTAAATATATTTTTTGATTGATTTCGGAGGGGAGGGGGAAGGGAGAGACAGAACCATCCATGATGAGAGAGAAGCACTGTCAGTGGTTTAAGGGAAAAGCTAACTTAAACCCGAAGAAATTCCAGATGGGTTGAACAAAAGGTCAAGTGATTGCTCCAGCCCGTGTGATCAGGGGTTTTTCTCTTTTTGTAAAACTGACCAATAAAATGGTGCCACATACTCCAGCTCTGGCTTGGCTCCAGCCTTCAATGAGTCAAGTGTTAGTAACATCTCTACTAACAACCGTGATTAAAACCTTCAGTTGCTATACGCCACTGGACACCACGTGATAACACCCTCATCTCATCGACCTCTGTCCTCTCCTCTTATCTCCACCCCTTCTTCACCTAATCCTCTCTTTGTTCTGAACTTTTATCTTAAGATATAACATGTGTTATTCATGCTTCATGTTATGCTGTAAATATGTGATACTTATTGACTCCTGTT